GTATGTATACCATTACTACAGCGCAATATAGTGGCAGTATTCGTAGAGGAGAACTACTTAAGGTGTCAGATGAATATACAAAATGAATGAAGGAAACCAGCTTGTTATATATCATAATTAATGATAGGAAAATATGTTGACGAAGTTATTCTATTCTAGCAAAATTACTTCAGTCTTCCATAACCAGAAGAATTAATTTTATACTGCAAATTTGCTTTGAATATTTTCTATTTCTTCACTTATATAAGAGGAAAATACTGGCCTCTCACTTAAAAGAGGAAACATCCTCAAATAGATTGGAAATAATCTTAACACCCACCTACATGACACTTTATTTTGTTTTCTTTACATATTTGCTTCTGTTCAGACATATTTATTTACTTTTTTTATCCACACAATCTGACTGTACGAGAGGAGCAAATAAAAATGTTTTTATTTCATAATGTACTCAGAAGAAAAGAAAATACAGACTTGTCACTGGCATTTTCAAATGTAGAGTAGTGTCTAGCTAAACGATGTCCGCTTGATAAATTTTAAGCAGCCTCGTTATACGAAATAAATGCACGTGAAAAAATCCTTTTTGAGTTCAAGGCCTTATATCACTATAATTCCCTTTTGGTCTAACTGATTTCACGTATTTTACACGGATCACGTTACTTACAGGACTGGTAGGGTCGGCGTGAGTGAGGTGTGAAATGCACCATGAGACATAAAGAAACCTAACCAATAGTCAAAGTCCAACAAAACCACAGCCAAGATAATTAACCGACAAGTAAATAATGTCTATATTTTGTCAGTTTGGAAATAAATTAGTATTTGTATCTCTATCTGTATATACATACATATATATTTATATGTATATATATGTATGTATGTGTGTGTGTGTGTGAAGATTTATAAGCAAGCGGTACGATGTACCCATTCCACTTATGAGAAAAATGTCTTGAACGCCCACATATATGTTTTCTAAACCCCTTACATGTTCGATATATATATATATAGATATATATATATATAGATATATATATATATACACTTTATATATATACATATATATGTATATACATACATAGATGCATATATACACTTATATATATACATATATATGTATATACATACATAGATGCATATATACACTTATATATATACATATATATGTATATACATACATAGATGCATATATACACTTATATATATACATATATATGTGTGTGTATGTGTGTGTGTGTGTGTGTGTGTGTGTGTGTGAAGATTTATAAGCAAGCGGTACGATGTACCCATTCCACTTATGAGAAAAATGTCTTGAACGCCCACATATATGTTTTCTAAACCCCTTACATGTTATATTTATATGTATATATATGTATGTATGTAAATATATAAATATATATATATATATATATATATATATATATATATATATATATATATATATGTATGTATATATTATATATATATAAATTATATCTATATCTATCTATCTATATATATATATATATATATATAATATATAATATATATAATATATATAATATATATAATATATATAATATATATAACACATTTGTGTGTGTGTGTGTGTGTATTTATATGTATATATATATATATACACTTTATATATATACATATACATATATATGTATATACATACATAGATGCATATATACACTTATATATATACATATATATGTGTGTGTATGTGTGTGTGTGTGTATGTGTGTGTGTGTGTGTGTGTGTGTGTGTGAAGATTTATAAGCAAGCGGTACGATGTACCCATTCCACTTATGAGAAAAATGTCTTGAACGCCCACATATATGTTTTCTAAACCCCTTACATGTTCGATATATATATATATTTTTTTCTTGACCCACCTTCCTTATATAAGAAAAATCTTATATGCTCTCCCTCTCCTCTCTTTTTTGACAACCATCTTTAGCATCTGAGCTTCAACTCATGGTACTAGCTAGATTTGTGTCATAAAGAGATATTTGATGTAATGAGTCTTAAATAAAAGTAAGTCTAATATAACCATGTTAAAATAGAATATAACAATTTTATGGGTTTTACCGTTGCTTTGATGGTATATGACACTGGCTATAAAATCTACTTGGACTGGAGGGTGATCAGGGAATCTCTCTAAATTGGCCTCCATTGAGCTTTAGAGAGGTCATTGTCGCCGGCCCCCCTAACGGAAGCCACCTTGCCGCGGTGGGGGGGCTTGAGGTCCCAATGAGCTGGTAAGCCGGACCAGAGGGCTACCCATACTGGAGGGGTCACCAGTGAGGGATGAGACAAAATGGCCTCCTGGTGCATCAAGGTCTATGAGAGGGGATGGTGCACTCACCCCTGGTTTATTCCATCTTAGACCAGGGAGAACTCTCCCAGGTGTGTTTGCCGTGCATGGCGTCCCATATTACCTGGAGGTTGAGCAATGCTGCACGCTGCGCCCTGCAGCTAGCAACACACCTCTTTGGTCCTCTATTCTGCTTAGACGGGTGGCTTGATCTAGGCACTTACTACCCCTATAGCTGTTGGGAAAATTTGAGCCCCAACTATAGCTTCCCCTATAGTGGGTGGGGAGGGGGTGAGGAAATGAAGATTTATAATTTGCATGATTTCTGCAAATTTACAAAGAACTTGCTCTCTCCCTGACGACCTTCGCAATCCCCTGGCCAATTCCTCTGGAACATCACATGTCACTCTGGAACCTTACCAGATTCCAAAGGGCAAGAATGGGAATCGTAATGGTTCAGGAGCTCCCAAACCAGGTAAGGAGAAAAGTCCTCCTCTATCCATCTTACCTGGTATATATGAAAGTGTATCATATAGTAAATGCCTAGTAGTGAAGACCATTGATCGTGTATCTATCATGGGTCTTGATATTTTTGAAGTACATCGCATCACCCCACAGCGAGATGGTAGCCTGATAGTTGAGGTCTCGTCACCGGACGAGAGTGACTGCGTGCGATATGCGACATTCCTGGTGCTCAAGTTCATATTCAAAATGTTAAAAATCTATCAATAAATGCCAAAAATAATAGTAAATATTATATTTAAAAATCAAAGCATAAACATTAGGTTCTAAATGTCTAAAAACTATTGCATAAACATTATACATAATTAAATTTTATTGAAAATATTAGTTACCCTAATGAAACTAATAAGATCTAAGTCACAATCCTCCCCCAATACATTATTCAGTGTATATGGGGGAGACAGGTATCTTCCTCTTTGGTCTGAGAATGTTGCACACCTTTTTTACTACATGTGCAACCATTAATGGCTCTTGGCATTCCTCATAACGTCCTTCACTTTTAGCCATCATAGGCCCATGAGTTAGTCTTGTGTGCCCGATTCTCAGCCTTGTTAATATAACTTCTACTTGTCGGTCGGGATGTATGCTGGTCACCCAACTGCCAAGGTCATCTCTAATCTCCTGCAGTTTGTTTCTAGAGGTATGCCTCCATTGTTCCCTCCATTTATCACGAAGACAACTGATGCTGGGTTTCAAGTCAGTGTGTGGGAGAGGAAAACGAGCATCACAGGGCTGAGCGACAGCTGCCTTGGCCTTCCGATCATCTCACTCATTCCCACTGATACCAACATGTGCTGGCACCCAACACAGAGTTATCTCTCTGCATGCTGACATCAGTGCAAGCCAATCTTGAACCTCCCTCACTACTGGATGTGATGAGTTTAAGCATTTGATTACTTACAAGGCACTACGAGAGTCACAATATATTACAGCAGAATGGTTTCTAAGATCTCTAGTCATCTAGACTGCTGCAAGGAAGGCATGTAACTGCAGTGAAAATCGAGGCTGATCGATAAAGACTACCAGATGCAGTTTTTCTTCTGCTCACTGCTGCAAAGCCTACACCATTTTCAGATTTCAAACCATCTGTATATATTGCATATGATCCTTGGTACTTAGGAGTGTATTGAAGAAATATCTCTCTGACTTCTACTTCGGATCTCTCCCCTTACCCAATTCCGACCAAATCCAGCTCAACTTGATTAGTCCAAGGGGGGACTTGGGAAGTTCCAACAGCCAGAACCTTTGTGAGATTTAAATTAAGATCTTCCACAAGATTCCTCATTCTCCTACCACAGGATCGGCTATCATGACATTTGCAAGAAAAGTATTTGGTGCAGAAGAATCTATTTTTGCTTTTGTTGATCTGGAAAAGGCTTTTGACAGACTACCAAGGGATGTAAAATGGGCTCTAAGGAAACGAATGTTTGATAGAAACAGTAATGACTATGTTAGAAAAACCCACAATGTAAAACTAGATTTATTGAAAGTGAGACAACAGTTTCGGAATCCACCTAGATTCCATCCTCAGGTCAGTCATGACTATGTATAGGAGTAATAGTGCAGTCAGGGTGACCAGCACAGCTGTTGAAAAGTTTCAAGTTGAAGTAGGAGTGCAGCAGGGATCAGTATTAAATCCACTTTTGTTCCTTTTAGTTCTTGAAGCACTATCTAGAGAGTTCAGGAGTGGTCTACCTTGGGAGCTGCTTTACACAGACGACCTCGTAATTATTTCGGAAATCTTGGAGGAACTCGGAGAAAAATTACTGTGCTTGGGAAAAATGGAAAAAATGGAGTAAACACCCTTGTGGGTGAGTTAACTCAGTTTCCTGTAGCTTTTGCAGTTATTGGGGGCACAAAGGTTGCAGTGGACTGAGAGTTAACTCTGAGAAACACCAAACTTTAAATTAAGACAATGCTTAAATCCAGAGGTAGAAAACCAAGCACCAAAGGAAGTTAACCTCGCGAATGTGAACTATGAAGTGGTCGATCTATTCTGATATGTTGAGTGCAGATGGTGGAGCCATGGCAAGCTCAAGAATGCATGTAAAACCATGCTGGGTAAAATTTAGAGATCTCCTTTTGACATCATGGGTGTTTTTACACGAGATGATAGAGAAGTTCTATGCAGCTTGTATCAGAAGTGTCATTCTTTATGGCTGTTATTTTAGTGTTAAACAGGAAT